GTGCCAATGTAATAAAGTGTCAAGCTCATGGAAAACACTGATGCAGTCATAACAGTTAAAGGGTGATTTATTGCAGCTTCCAACACGCAGTTATCACTCTGTTACATCTCGGCTACCAGGCTCACTTAACACACTGAAGGCCCCCACCTAGGTCGCCCCTTAGTGGTACTGTAACTGCCTGACTGCAAATAACACATAACATTCATGTTACAACAGCAGACCACAGTTTTTTGCAAGTAGTTGAAAGTTTAAACTCGTATTGTTGTAAATCTTTGTTTTAAACTCGCCTTAAAACTACTGTAAACACTATATGACATTTAAAGAGGTGGTATTGTGGTTTTTGGCTTTTCCCCTCTCCTTTATTGAGTTATATCTTTTTTGTGCATGTAACAGGTTTGCAAAGTGAAAAAGCCCAAAGTCCAGCTCAAAGGGAGTTCCCATCTCCCACAGAAAGCTCTGCTCTGAACTGCCTGAAAACAGCTCGTTTGTAGTCCAGCCGCTTCCCTTTCGAAAGCTAAACGCGCCTCATATAATGCTCGCCAAGCGGCTACTCTGACACGCCCTCAAAAACAGCGAGCTGCAGCACACACCTCTCCTCTCCCTTCCAAACACTAGCTACCCTCCAGGCAGTCAGTGGACATAAAGTTGTTCCTGTGATGTAGAGACAGAGCTCAGTTAAAACTTTATGGATGAAAAATACTTTTGTTACAGATTAATAACTCACCGCTCTGAAACTCTTGCTACAGTCCATATTGCTAAGCTGGTCGGCAACATGTACAGCTGAACCCAAGCCGTTTACTGTCTTTTCGCTGACCTGCCGTTCTCTGCTTCTGACTGGCTAGTAGTCCTTAACTAGGAGCTGTGCATGTGCAACTCCCAACAAAGATCATTTAGAGACAAGATGTATCACTTCATAGCTAAAACGAAGCCTTCAACACAGGGTGAAAAGAGGAGCTGCAGCAATTTGCAGTATGACAAAAATATGGTGTTTTTGGAAAATGAAACCACGTAAACCTGTTCTGGTACAACCCCTAAATAAGAACCTGAAAATGAGCAGAATACCACCTCTTTAACAGAAAAGACTGAGTGAGGAGGTGGTTGGGGAGGGGTGGGGTGGTTGGTTTTATTTTGAAAGTCTAACCGGATGTTGCATATTTATTGTTGCTAACTTTACCGTTACTAGAAACTAATGGTAGTTACTAGTAACGAAAAAATAAGCACTAGTTACTAAACCAAGACGGCACTGTGTATAGCTGCGCTTTGTCTTATTTGTGTGTTAATTCAGTTTTCGGCTGCGATTCCCGGAGCTCTTTCACCAGAGAAGAGTTTATGAACATAAGGGGAACAACTCCAGCGGATTTAGTTCCCACATTTCTCGCCTCATCAGTGGAATTATTAGACATTTTGGTGATGGACTCTTTGGCTGTTGTTCGGGCTGTGAAGCGCCGCAGGAGAGGAAAAAGACGGGTCACTCGTGCGTCTTCACCAGCGGTGCTGGCAATATTTCTCTCCAACGTGCGGTCACTGTGCAACAAACTGGATGAACTTCAGCTTCTGGTGGAGAAATACAGAGACTTTTATTCATCTTCTATTCTGTGCTTCACGGAGACTTGACTGTGTGAACTGATACCGGACTCCGCGCTGCAGCTGGCTGCCGTCCAACTCGGACTCAGACGTGACAGCGATTCAGCAGCACTGTTCTCCTAATCTGGAATATTTTATCATTAACTGTAAACCGTTTTACTCCCCCGTGAGTTTGCTTCATTCATTCTGGTCAGTGTTTACAATCCGCTGCAGGCCAACGTGCAGGACGCACAGCGTACGCTGCCCGACCGGATACTGTGTGTGGAGCAGACAAACCCGGACTCCCTTGTCATTGTTCTCGTGACTTTAACAAAGGAAACGTCAGCCAAGAACTCCCCAAATACAGACGGTTTATAAAGTGTCCATCGAGAGAGGGGAACACTTTGGATCACTGCTACACCACAGTTAGCAGTGCCTATCACGCCGTCACACGCGCTCCACTGGGACACTCTGATCACGTGATGGTCCATCTGATTCCTGCTTACAGACAGAAATTAAAGCTCTGTAAACCTGTAGTGAGGACATCAAAGAAGTGGACCAGTGAAGCTGTAGAGGACCTTAAGGCGTGATTGGACTGCACTGACTGGGATGTTTTCAGGACTGCTACCAACAATCTGGAGTTTACTGATGCTGTGACGTCCTACATCAGTTTCTGTGAGGACAGCTGCATTCCAACACGCAGCAGGGTGAGTTATAACAATGACAAACCCTGGTTCACAGCCAAACTCAGACAGCTGAGGTTGGAAAACAGAGGCGTTTAGGAGGGGGGGACAGGGCTGTTACAATAAGCCAAGAGAAGCTAAAAACTGTACTCAGAGAGGCTAAAGGACCAGTTCTCTGCAAATGACGGCACTTCTGTCTGAAGGGGTTTCAGACAGATCACAAAGTATAAACCCAAAGCCCCCCACTCCATCAACGACTCTCACCTGGCAAATGAGCTGAACCAGTTCTACTGCTGCTTTGAGAGTCAATCGGACACCATCCCCCATGATCCCTCCGCTCAGCTTCAGCCCCAGTCCACCCCCCCCCTCAGAGGTGAACAGCTCCACCCCCTCCCCTCCTCTCTCCATCACAGAGAGGGAAGTCAACAGATTATTCAGGAGGCAGAAACCCCGCAAAGCAGCTGGGCCAGACTCTGTCTCCCCATCCACCCTGAAGCACTGTGCTGATCAGCTGTCTCCAGTGTTCACAGACATTTTTAACTCATCACCGGAGACATGCCATGTGCCTCCACCATCATCCCCTGTCCCCAAGAAAACAAGGACCACAGGACTAAACGACCACAGGCCCCGACCTCTGTGGTAATGAAGTCCTTTAAATGCCTTGTGTTGTCCCACCTTAAATCCATCACAGACCCACTCCTGGACCCCCTGCAGTTCGCCTACAGAGCCAACAAGTCTGTAGATGATGCAGTAAACATGGCCCTTCACTACATCCTCCAGCACCTGGACTCCCCAGGAACCTAAACCAGGACCCTGTTTGTGGATTTCAGCTCTGCTTTCAACACCATCATCCCGGCCCTGCTGCAGGACAAGCTCTCCCAGCTGAACGTGCCTGACTCAACCTGCAGGTGGATCACTGAACATCTCTCCATGACCATCAGCACCAGTTCCCATCAAGGCTTCGTTTCCCCCCTTCTCTCCCTGTACACCAATAGCTGCACCTTCAGACACCAGTCTGTCAAGCTCCTGAAGTTTGCGGACGACACCACCCTCATTGGGCTCATCTCAGGTGGGGATGAGTCCACCTACAGGTGGGAGATCGACCATCTGGTGACCTGTTGCAGCCAGAACAGACTGGAGCTCAGAGCTTTGAAGACAGTGGAAAGAGCCCAGCCCCACCCTCCTCCATCATCCTGCGTGACTCCCCAGTGGACTCCTTCCATTTCCTGGGCACCTGGGCGTCTGTGGTAGTGCGGGTTGCCTGTTAATCAGAAGGTTGGCGGTTCAATCCCTGACTTCTCCAGGCTGTGTGTCAAAGTGTCCTTGGGAACTGAACCCCGAACCCCCGAAATTGCCCCTGGTGGCTGTTCCACCAGTGTATGAATGAGTGTGAATGTTAGTTTCTGTTTGATATATAATGAATGAATGTGTGTGAATACAGATGTAGTGTAAAAGCGCTTTGAGTGGACTTTTGACTAGAAAGGCGCTATACAAATACGGAGCATTTACATTTACATCATCTCCCAGGACCTCAAGTGGGAGCTGAACATCACCTCCCTCACCAAAAAGGCCCAGCAGAGGATGTACTTCCTGCGGCAGCTCACCTCCTCCATCACCATCTGGTACGCTGCTGCCACTGCCAGGGACAAGGGCAGGCTGCAGTGCATCATTCGCTCTGCAGAGAAGGTGATTGGCTGCAATCTTCCTTCTCTTCTGGACCTGTATTCATCAAGGACTCTGAGGCGAGCAGGAAAGATTGCAGCTGACCCCTCCCACCCCAGACACAAACTGTTTCAGACTCTCCCCTTTGGCAGGAAGCTGCAGCCAATCGCCACAAAATTTTATTTCATTTCATTTCATATCATGCACAAACCTGGCACATTGCACGTATTTGTTGTTAATTGTTAATCTTTGTTGTTCTATATTTTATATTCACAATACTCACAAACCCAGAATAATGCACATGTAAATATCTGCGACGTTTTTCTTTCTCTGCAAATCGTTGTATTATTTTTAATTGTATTATTTATTAGTAACTAAAGGAGGGGTTACTATAACTAAATAATACATACTAGTAAAATGGAAATAGTGCTTATTTTTTAGTTTCTAGTTATTTTTTAGTTACTAGTAACTAATAAGTACTAGCAGCTTTTAAATAGTGACTAGTAAGTTTTAAGGAATAAATATTAAAACGGCTTGCCATATGCCATAGTAGCCTAGCCTATGGTGAAAATGGCAAATGAAAGGAGCTTGCCATAACTGTTGGCATGCAGTTTCTGGCTGTTGATGGATCACTTGTTAATTTAAGGATCGAAGGCATATTGTCAGTGGAAACGATGGAAGAATAAGTTAGTATTCTTTTATCAGAGATATCATCAGCGCATGGTCTTTCAGTGGAGAGCCGGTTAATGCCTCCTCAGCCCCTCCCATTATGCCATACTATGGCCATACCCCATGTCTTCAGCTGGTTGTTGTATGCGTGCGCCTCTATGGTGTACAGCACTGGCCTTCTACGTCCCCAGATCGGCCACGCTCACAAACATACCCAGCAAGCGATAACCATCATTTCACCGTCTAGGTTAACTATAGACCCAATTTATTCCAGCTATGAGTAATGTCTACAAATATTAAGTGTCATTTAATTGACATGGTCTATCTGTGTGGCCACGATTTAGCTCTGAGTAGTGTCTGAAAGTGTTGTTTTAATAATGCGAGTGAGCTCACTATATAGTGCTCTACATACAACTCCGTACATAGAGGGTAGGGAGTAGTGAATGAGAGAGGATTTCGGACACAGCCTCTTATTTAACGGCCCCATCTCCACCGCCTGGCTGTGGCGTCACCTGGAAGTAGTCACGCCGGGCGGGATGACCGGAACAACAAGATGGCGGAAAATGAGGAGTTTCGGGTAGGCGAAAAAAAACCTTATGTGACTTACTTCCGTCGACATTGAAAAATGCTACGATAAATTGTGAGGAATAAGCTGGTCGATATATTACGACCCTATGTGGCGGGCTCAGAGGACAGGACGTAGCTCGGTAGGAATGTGCATCAGATCAGACCGTTTGCGTTTTAGCAGTTAGCTTTAATGCTAACAGTGTATGACTAGCATTCGCTAGGTTACTTGTTAGCTTGCTGCAACTAACGTTCGCTAAAACCATACTTCATTTTATTTGTGTTGTAACTACGTCTAGTTACGCTGTCATTGTGTGAGTAAGTAGTATTGGCGCGTACGGCTCTTAAGTATCCTGTAAGCAAAGTTAACGGCTAATCTATCACGAGGATCCTTCCAGTTAGCCAGAAGTGAACGAATTGATTAACAGCTGCTGGGCACGCTAGGAGCTACAGTCCCCGTTCCCCTGCTGATCCCGGTTTCTCCAGCAGCTGGGATTCAGTGAATTTTAGTACATGGTTTTATCCTTCAGTTTTTCTACACAACAGCAACATGTTCTGGGATTTTCTGTTCATTTTCTAAGCTAAGGGGTGTCAGTCTTTGCACTGGCCGCTTAACATTAGATGTGAACGCTTCGTCGTCATCGGTTATTAGTTAAGCATTAAAAAAATCACATTCCGTGAGTTGTTGTAGTCATTATCATTCGACCAAAACATTATTTAAGCCATATTGTTTGCCATTAAAATCATCTTTTTTTTCTTTGTGAAAGTGTTCCCCAAGCACGTACAGCTGTAAAAGTATCTGTTTAGCTATGTGCAGAAAACCCCAGGAATATGGTTTAGTTTTCTGAGTGAAACTTTTTCATGAAGCAAATTACTAATTTGAATCTAACACGGCTCCTCTTTCAAATGTGCACACTAACACTAATGTGTTAGTATGAAATCTCAAAGTTGCAGGTCCTGGTCGTAGACTGTCATGTAGTATTAGATGCATTCAACAGCAGCATTTTCTCTGGGTCAGCATCATAGACGGCATGTTTTAGAGCCAGTGGTTAGGAAATGCTTTCTCGTAGCTTTGGTTTGAAGTAGTCATTGTGGCATCACGTGAGTTCATTCGCTGCAAGTGTTCACACACAATGCGAGAAGGCGATTTTAATGTGAATAAACACAACTCGCCATTACTACAACTGTATGAACCCAAAGAAAACATTTTGCTGTGATTAAATAGCAATAAACAGATTAAACTGATGCTGAATAACTACAACATGATGCAGATTTGTTAAACATATGAATTCATGCTTTGTCAGATCTGTCAGCAAGACAGCAGGACAACAACTTCTAAAATGTTTGTTTTCTGAATGGAGTTTGGATCGATCAGGGCTATGCTATGCTAAGTTAGTCACAGTAAAGTACAATGATAGCTGGAATAAAGTTTCTTTTCTCCAAGTAATGTCCAGTTTTGTCCGGTCTTTATATAAATATGAAGTCGTAGTCCGACAGAGCTAACAACAACCCTGGAACCGGATGTGCACGGAAGCTGCTGAGAAGCTCCAGTGAAGATAAATCAACGTTGAAATCCCAAAAACTTAAGTAAAAAGCTAATTTAATAAAAGCAGTTAACTCCGAGCTCCTCCCGCGAGTAAAGGGCGAAGTTCTCAGAGCATAATCTGACCGACTACGGGGGTTTATTTGTCCAGTGGTTTCAGCGCTGCTCCCTGCTCCCCTCCCCAAAGTTTAGCAGCTCTCAGCCGGCCAGCAGATTTTCAATCGCCCGCTCTGCCTGGCCCTCTGCACACATCGCTCTGAAGCCTCGGTGACGTACGGACAATCTCAACACTGATAGGCTATCGCAACTCAGCGTAATGTGACTCCTTCGCTTTTTAGCGACCACCGATCAAACTAGTTAAAGCCATTATCGGGCGATTGTGACCGATCGATCGGTGCGCCCTTATTTTTATACAGTAATCAGTGAGGCCTGGTCAGCCTCCAGAAACACTACACTCCAATGGCGTCATAAAAATGAGAAAGATTTTCATTGGACCCTGAATTAATACACGCCCCCAAGTGCAGGAAGAGTCATCAATGTTTTAAAATCGTTTTCCAGGAAATGACAAACTCTCTAAAAGGCCTGTGAGATTTTAGCTTGTGCTAACCGCCTTCACTTTTCCAGCAGTTGGAAAACAACAGACGGACTTTAAAGACGGACTGTGAACTACACTTTACAGCCAGACTGAAACCTAGCGCTCATATTTTCCTGTGCCCCGCGCGTTTTCACCGTCACCTACTGCCGCCTGTCACATGTTGTGTGGACACCACAGACGGTCCAGTGCTGCACTTCCGCATTTCCGAATTCTGCATTTTTTGTTCTGTCAACATTACGTTATCATTTAACCTCTAGATAATGGATTATTGACATTTGTGAATCGATTCAGAATCGTCAAAATCCGTATTGCGATGCGTGTAAGAATCAATTATTTCCACACCCCTAGTGAGGGTGCTGGTAAAAACAACCATGTAAACCTGGCTCTACACTGAGATTACAAACTGTTTAATCACCTGGTGGTCCAATCTATATTTGGCCAAATACAAAATCTCCCTGGATTTGGGACTTGGCGGGTGATTATTTTGGACCCTGGCCATGGCGTTATCTTAAGTCAGTGGTGCTCAGCTTCACGTCATGGTGTACCTTATTCTTCCATTGTATATGGTATCAAGTTGGAGAGCTGCTCATTCATCTGAGCTTCTCCTGAAGGAGCTGAATAACAAGCGTGACTCCAGGATTGTAGCCTGATTTGGCTGCCATAAAGACGCTGTATTGAACACAAATATCTCTATTACAGGAGTCAGTCCTGTAACACAGACTTCAGTCTGTTGACTGGTGAAGCAGCTGTGTGGCACGACACCAAACCCAGCATGAATCTCCAGCAGCCAGCCCCTCTCATCCCCCCCGTCCACCCGGATGTGCAGATGAAGCCCCTGCCCTTCTACGATGTGCTGGACGTCCTAATCAAGCCTTCAAGTCTAGGTCTGTGGAGTTTTTTTTCTCTTTTGGTTTAAAGGAAAACACTTAGTCTGAGCCATGCAACTAGGCTACCAATTCATGAACATATTTTAAACCTATTCTTATATCAGACGGTAATCTTTATTGCTTTTGTTTATAACTCCTGCAGTTTCCCTCAGTGTGCTTTTGGAATTACAAGTGGAATGTTTTAAAATACTGCTTCAAAAATGAAATCTGAGGTTTAATATGATAAAACATCTTGTTTTACAACACAACATCATTCATTAAACAATAAAAGCCGAACCTCTTACATGAGTTAATACAGCCAGCCAGGAAATGGCAGAAGACAGGATGATTTCATGTCATGTTGCAGTTACTGTAATTACAAATTTTTTCTTTTTTGAAGTTTCATGTCAACTTCCAATTTGTAATTGCAACTGGGGAACTGACTTTTTGAAAGGTCCCCTATAAACCGAACTCGGTATAACTAGACAAATATGGGCACCTCGCTTTGCCAACCGCCAAACCTGTAATTGAATGGAAATGGAGTTATATTGTCACTGCAGAGTGATATAATCTTCACAACACCAACTCTGTTATCATTCCGCTTCACGCCAGCTTCATCCAAAGTGACCCTACAAATGCATACATATGTCAGAGGTTGCATGCCTCTGGAGCAACTACAGTTAAGTGTCTTGCTCAGTGACACTGAACACTTGGCAATTAGTGGATATGTCACAGTGGGAATCGAATCAGGGTCTCTCACACCAAAGGCATGTATCTTATCCACTACTCCATCACCACTCACACCATTTTGATGTGAACACTTGCAAATTGTGCATACAACATAGACATTTTTCCCATTTATGCTACGCATGATGTGAATACCTGATCAGGCATTCGGTGCCAGCTTATTGTAGTAGATGTTAGGGGTGTATCGATTCACCAAATCCACGGTCCGGTTCATATCTTGGGTTTTTCCCCCGTTTTTTTTTTTTTTTTGGAGTGGGGGAGGCGGCGTTGTTGTTGTTAGATTCCATCTTGGGTTAATTAAAGTAGTTGAAGTTGTAGGCATGATCACTCACATCACAGTCATGACTGGACCACAATAGTCACGTGACACACACATTTGGAGGACAATAAAATTGGTCGGAGGTTTAATATTTACAAAATACAGGCCTACAGCTTGCACTAACTTAACTTAAAATATAGTGTTTTTGACATACTTTACTTGGTCCATTCTCAGCAGAATTTGTGAGTTAATGGTGCGGGGAATGTATGGATGATGATGATGATGATGATGATTGTTTAGATTACAGCAGTGGAATCTGTGGAGACAGAAATGCATGCAGATTTACAATCTGAAAATATACCTAAATGTGAACTATGTGCTCATTATTTGATGCATAAATTATAATATTTGTATACGGGGAATGTAAGCCACGGTATTGTAGTTATCTGAAGAGCAGCACTTTGGAATTAATGTAACATTTGTGTTTTCAGGAGCAAGTTCTTCACAGAGGTACCACCAAGAAAAATATTTTATCTTTGCCTTGACACCACAGCAAGTCCGAGAAGTATGCATATCCAGGTAGGACTGTTTGTTAATCTCTCTGGTATTCCATAGAAGGCCCATGTCTGTACTGTAAAATAAAGTATGTGAAACCTTGTTTGTTTACAGGGACTTTCTACCGGGTGGCAGAAGGGACTACATGGTTCAAATCCAACTGAGGTGAGAATACGCAGAGTTTTCTGACCAGTTTGAACTAAGAAACATTCCGTCACTCCTTGGTACTAAGTGATCAAAATGATTCAAAGCAAGCTCTTTTTAAAATCATATTAAAAAAACTTGATGTTTTTTTGATGACTCCAAACTAGGGCTAGATTTTATCAAAAAATTTCATAGCATTCGATTTTGATAATTATCACGATAAATGTCAAATCATTAATTCAAGTTAAGAGGCTGATTTTTGCTTTTTGTAGAAACCAGATGGCTAACTGGTTTTAAACTGTTCCTTATGATCAGAACATGACAAAAACTACTGGATCACTTAACAAATCTGAGGAAGAACATTCGAAACAATTGAGAGAAATTATTTTCTTTATATGCTTGAGTAAAAATAAGTAAACTTTTTTCAGTCTCTTTTCCTCAACAAAATAAATATCTTAAAGAGGTGGTATTATGCTTTTTGGCTTTTCCCTCTCCTTTATTGAGTTATATATATATTTTTTTTGTGCATGTAACAGGTTTGCAAAGTGAAAAATGCCAAAGGGAGTTCCCATCTCCCACAGAAAACTCTGCTCTGAACTGAAAACAGCTCATTTGTAGTCCAGCCTTTACTTCCCTTTCTTGTGACGTCACAATGAAAATACGTGTCATAACGCTTACCAAGCGGCTAGTCCGACACGCCCTCAAAAACAGCGGTGGAAAAACAGTGAGCTGCAGCACACAGCTCTCCTCTCCCTTCCAAACACTAGCTACCCTCCAGGCAGTCAGTGCACAGGAAGTTGTTCCTGTGATGTAGAGACAGAGCTCAGTTAAAACTTTATGGATGAAAGAGACTTTTGTTACAGATTAATAACTCACCACTCTGAAACTCTCGCTCCAGTCCATGTTGCCAAGCTGGTCGGCAACATGTACAGCTGAACCCAAGCTGTTTACCGGCTTCTCACTGACCCGCCCTTCTCTGCTTCTGATTGGCTATTACCAGCCTTTCGCTGACCTGCCGTTCTCTGCTTCTGATTGGCTAGTCCTTAACTAGGAACTGAGCATGTGCAACTCCCAACAAAGATCATTTAGAGACAAGATGTATCACTCCATAGCTAAAACGAAGCCTTCAACACAGGGTGAAAAGAGGAGCTGCAGCAATGTGCAGTATGACAAAAATATGGTGTTTTTTTTGAAAATGAAACCATGTAAACCTGTTCTGGTACAACCCCTAAATAAGATTATGAACCTGAAAATGAGCATAATATGACCTCTTTAATAGAAAAATGAAGTGCTAATTCGTTCATGATTCAGTACAGGTAACATTCCTGTTTAAGTCAGTGTTCAGCTTTACGCTCTGGACTGTGGAATGTTCGAAATCTATGCATTTTCTGGTTATTTCTGACCATTTGATAAACAAAAAATATCTGAGTATAATGTCAGTATAATTACATGTTACACTTTATTTGGATAATTTGCCTACAGATATTTTATTAGTGGAGATTCAGCTGTGTCACAAATAAAACCTTTCTCTGATATTAGCCTGCACCACTGTGGGGAAGCATTGATTAGTGCTAATGTTTGTGTATTCATTATAATTTCAGATAATAGTACAGGCTATTATAGCTTACCATTAGTAGCCTAATATTAATTCCAGTTGGACAAAACAGCAGTTTCATTTTGTGTCATTAAATTATTGTGCAAGAAAAATGCTCTACAAGTTGGTCAGTCTCTGAATTGTTTATGCAAGTTAATCTTGTCAAAAATAAAAACGGTGCATACAGAATGACAAGCTAAACATTTCTAAAGTTTGCCTCAACCTTTTTTTTTTATGTTCGGCCTCCTCCAGGCTGTGATTGGTTGGTTAACAAAAAGTGACTTTGATGAGCCACTATACACATGGCTGCATGAAGGCTCCCGATCTCCCTGCGGAGATTGGCAGGCAAGAAGGGGAACAGGTGAGCGTCACTTAGTGGGCAGAGGAGAGAACCGGTGCCGGTACGCCAGAGACTAAAATGTAGAAGTGACCGTACCGGTGAATACCAGCACATTCAAGCATAAACTGCTTTAATATTGTAAGAAATAACAGCAAGTCATTAGCGTGAGTTTAGGCGCAGTTAAGCGCAGCAGCTGGTTTATTAGCGCCTGCTGCATGTGTAAAATACAGCGGCTGTGGATGAGAGGAGAGCTGACTGCTGGAAGATGAGATGTTGTATTGAAGTTTATGTTCTGCTTGCGCAACAGTTGTTTGATAAATGGCTATTAAAACACATTTGCAGAGGATTAGAAAGGTGTTTTTTTTTTTTTTCAACTCTGATCATTTTGGCACTGTGGATTTTCCTTTGGCGCTCACGAAAACCTCTTTGGGGGGTGTGAAAAATTTGTCTATGCAGGAAAAACCTTGTATACTAGGGCTGGACTATTTCACGTAAAATCTAAATCGCAATTACTTAAACATTTCACCTCCATTACGATTATTGAACAATTATTTTGTTTTTGAATGCTGTTTTTTATTTTTTATGTCCTGATATTTCACTGACAAGGTTTGTACTGTAAATAAACTTTGGTTTATTTATTCACAGATTTCACAAATCCATTAGACTGACTAAATGTTAATTAATAAGGTAATGTTGACGTACATATTACAGAGACATGGTTCCCTAATATTCGGCGCATCCCTGCTGCTTAATTATGACCGCTGCTACTAAAATTTCACTCAATTATTTGATATCAATGCAGAATAAATGATTTCCCCCTGCACACTGCGTGAGCACGGTAAATAACGCTTTGCTAGCTTCCTGTCCTCATTCATCAAAGAGCGTGTACGTGAACGGCGCTGTTATAAGAGCTGCAGAGTCAGGTCTTTTAACTGCAGTGCAGTGTGTTTTGCGTAGCGAGTGATTGGACGAGTGAATGTGAGAGAGCGGCAGAAAGTGACGCTGAAAGCGGGCGAGTATTAAGTTTTCAGTCTGGCAGTAAATGTACAGTGTAGGTCACAGTGTGTCCGTTATTAAGTCTGTTGTTTCATCCAGCTGGAAAGTGAAGGCGGTTAGCGCTAGCTAACATCTCCCTGAGCTTCAGACTCCGGTCTGAAAACTGAGCAGGACTGGACAGGGCGGAGTCATGTGACTACACACGTGGTGTTTCGAGGGGAAAGTACATGAACACACACATTACCAGGATTAAATAACCGACATGGGGAAATTATGTCGGTTAGACACTCTGAATTTTGGTTTCGATTAATTTTCCATCCCTATGTTATAGTGTGTTTAACATTGATTGCTGCAAAGTACCTTGTAACCTGTATTGAAAAAAAACTGAAGACGCTGCTGGAAACGAGGGGAGGAGTTTGTTGTATACAAAGAGGAGCTGCTAGCAAGACTTTATTTCCTAATGTTACACCAACACAACAAACTCCTCTCTCCAGCTCTGACTCACAGCACTGTAGGCTAGACAGTGTCATACTTGTCACCAGCATCTAGGCTTTTACCTTGTGTGTTTTTTTTTTTTTTTTTTTTTTTACTCAAATACCCCAGTGAATTGTCAGGAAGGAATGAAAAACAGATGCTGCCTAATATTGAGAAATATCTCTTTGTGTTGTCTAGGTTTGCTTGTCAGAGACAAGTTGCCCTCAAGAGGATAATTACCCAAACAGTCTTTGTATAAAGGTCAATGGGAAACTTTTTCCTTTGCCAGTAAGTGCTCGTTTCACTCCAGAACAGTTTCAATAAAACGCCGATCAAGTTTAATTACTCTACTATTGAGATGCTAACAAAGCTTTTTATTCCTGTAGGGTTATGCACCGCCACCAAAAAACGGTGTGGAACAGAAGAGACCAGGAAGACCTCTAAACATTACCTCCCTCGTCCGACTCTCCTCTGCAGTACCCAATCAGATTTCAGTGACATGGGCGCCTGAAATTGGAAAAGTAAGAACGTAACCCTCATTGGAACTCTCTTCAGCTTTTAGTTTTTCATGTGCTTGAGTTGGATATCATGTTTGGGGACAGGAAGAGTGACGTCTATTGAAGTTGTTTGATTATATTGTTTTTCAGACCTATTCGATGTCTGTGTACCTGGTGAGGCAGCTGACATCACCACTGCTCTTGCAGAGACTGAGGATGAAGGGCATCAGAAACCCAGACCACTCCAGAGCACTGAGTAACTATACAGTAAACCACTATGACAAATCTTCATGTAACCTGGTCACATGTGCTGCATGGCTCTCTGTGAACAGACAGAGCACAGTTAGCAGTTATTAGCTAGAGTTATCAGGTATTTGCTACACTGCACTACCTGCACCTGAAATTGACCTGTCCATTTAAAAATAAAAATAAAAACCTGAGACCTCCTGGACCCAGGATTGTTACAAAACAAACATTCAGCCAACTCAAACAGACCTGAATCCAGGTGTAGGGATGAACAATTAACAATTTTTTGAAAGCCTGTGTGGAGCAGGCTTCTGATGACTTTGTTTTTTTTTTTTTTTTGTTTCTTCTGTCACCTGCCCTCTGTGTTCCAGTTAAAGAGAAGCTGACTGCAGATCCAGACAGTGAGATTGCTACGACAAGCCTTCGAGTCTCACTTATGTGCCCGGTAAATGACGCATCTGTGCACGTTTTTTTGGCTGCTATGTAACGTTAGCTTAATGAGTAACGAAGTAATATTAATTAGCTCAGCTGTATGTCATTACTAACTTACTTACCTACTTGTCAAGGGTTGAGAACATCAGGTACAAGCTGTACTGTACATCCTGTGTTTTCTGAGGAGTCTGACACCTGGTTGTTAATGAAATGAGGGACCATGGAGCTGAGGTTAATGAAGTAAATTAGGGATGCAAACTAATCCTTTTAAGCTAATTAGGAGACGTTTCTTTTAGATTTTAATGTGCAAATTTAATGCTTAGTAATTATCCAGAGATCCTGTATAGAAAAAATTATGCAACGATAATCGTTTTATAATCGCATCACAGCCCCCTGAATTGTAATCGAATCTGAGGTGCCCAGAGATTCCCACCCTAGTGAACACACAGCTGATTGTTAGCCACTTAGTTGTGGCATGTCGCTGCTGATGACCAGAATATTGCACATGAGCACGGTGTGTCACTTGTCTTCCGCTGATGTGTACACTTATTACATGAAATACAAAAATAAAAGTGCCAGAGCTTAGTAGGTGTTATGGTGCGTTCCATTTGACAAGGGAAGTCAGAATTTCTGAGTTCAAAGTCAGAAATTTCAAAGTTGGATTTCTGAAATGGAAAGTTGGGAGAACCGCACTACCCTGACTTTGTGATGCAAGATGGCTGCTCTGAGAATCAACAGTTAGAATCAAACTGTAATTTATACTGTTTATTAGCACTTCTGTGTACTTGTTTCTCATGTACATTTTCGTACACAAAGTGCTGTCCAACTGCTGTCTGTGGACATGTTACTACTGTGTTTAGTATGAGTAAATACCGACTTGTTAACTGGGTAAATGAGGTAAATGGAATGCACCATTACCTTGTGGGCCTTTTGTATGAATTGTACCAGGTGTTTTCTTGGTTGATTCGTTTTGACTGACGTGTGTTTTGTCCTCCAGCTGGGTAAGATGCGACTGACTGTACCATGCCGGGCGGTGACCTGCTCTCACCTGCAGTGCTTTGACGCTGCCCTCTACTTGCAGATGAATGAGAAGAAACCCACCTGGATTTGTCCTGTGTGTGACAAGAAGGCTGCATACGAGAGTCTCATCATTGACGGGTTAGTTAAACTAATTCAACCACTTCACACAAAAATGACCTGCTGTTGCTCAGGCAGCTGTACATTCAGATTTTGGTAGATTGCCCAGTTTGTCTGGAGCCAAGCTCTCATTATAGTTACTAGTAGTGAGAACATGACACCAAAATAATCCACACGTCCCTGTCTGTCAAGTATGCATAGAGTTTCTCACTGTAGCGATTGGAAGTCCTGGCAATCTGGGCGTATTTTAATGGACTGAGCTGGCAAAATTAGCAAGGCTCCAATGGTAACTAATCTGTTACCTCTCCACTCTTATACCTGAATGCAAGACAATTAGGCAGCAGCTAATCAGGACACATCAACTGTCAATAATTAATGTTAATTCTGTGACTAAGAATCAGAATCTGGTTTATTGCCAGGTACATTTTCACATACAAGGAATTGGTATAAATTGGTGCTTATCAGTAAAACTATATATATATATATATATATATATATATATATATATATATATATATATATATATATATATATATATATATATATATATATATATATATATATATATATATATATATATATATATATATATATATATATATATATATATATATATATATAATAATAATAAATAATAATAAGAACTTGATCAGGACATTCCTAATTTTAACAGAAGGATCAATATATTTAAAATGTATGTATGCATACTAAAATTCGACAGGGGTCTAACTTGCAGACCTCCACTGTGGAGTCTCTTCCGGTGCAGACTCCACTCTCAGTTCAGCTCCACTCTCAGGACATGAAATATAACCATAAATGAGAGAGGTTTTTTTTCTGTGCGTCCCACACAGGACGTAACTTGATGCCCTCTCTGTTGTTCTGGCTACAGTATACACTGTGGCAACAGTAGGTGACTGATTAGCATTATCCAAAACATTGAGAAAAGTCTGAATGCGTGGGTCTTGGCGTATGTTCGCCGTCAGAATAGCTACGGCTGTTAATATTGTACATCTAAATCACATGCATTACAGAATGTGACACGCGTGTACGTTAGGTTATTTGTTCTACATAGGTCACTTTAGGCTAACGTTAAAGTTACGTCAACGGTGGCTAGCGTTAGCTCCTGAAGTAGTATGGTAGGATTAGCTTTTTTACTGTGGATAACGGAAGCTACTGTGTGTTTGGCTTCATTAAACGTTCTTTGTAAAGAATTTGGTGAGGGTTAGGGTTACCGTATTTTTCCTCTCCTGTGGCGCTTCACAGCCCGAACAACAGCCAAAGAGTCCATCACCAAAATGTCTAATAATTCCACTGATGAGGTGAGAAATGTGGGAACTAAATCCGCTGGAGTTCTCTGGTGAAAGAGCTCCGGGAATCACAGCCGAAAACTGAATTAACACACAAATAAGACAAAGCGCACCGAATACCGAGGCAGCTATACACAGTGCCGTCTTGGAAGATGCAGAATAAATCAATAGTGCCTGTGGAAAAAAAAGATACTGTTACCAGTTGAATTACTGTAGCGATATACAGTTGGCTTTGTTGCTACACTAGCACGTTAAGTGCTCAGCAGACAGAATAGGCCCAAATCGATATGCTTTTAGGAGTGGGAATCTCTGGGCACCTCACAATTCGATTACGATTCAGAGGGCTGCGAAGCGATTTTATAAAATTATCGATGCATCTTGATGCATTTTTTTTTCTTTACAGGATCTGTGGATAATTGCACATCATTAAATTTACGCATTAAAATCCAAAAGAAACTTCTCCTAATTAGCTTAAAAGGACTAGCTTGTGTCCTTAAACCATGTTGTATAGCTATAAATGGTGACAAAACAGCAACAAAAGTCAACAAATTTATTTAATGGTTTTCCAGCAACCCTAAATCAAAGAATACAAATTAGATTAAGGAATTTCCCTAACAAGTTTTATACTTTCTTTGAATATAATCCAATTAATCTAACTTCCACCTTATTTTGAAAACCGGTGTTGTCACGTGTATCCTCACGCTAAACTCATCAAGTCCGACCCAGTTTGATAATGTTGTATGTGGTTCTGGTATGGCGTAACATGAAGACTTCACAGCCTCTCTCCAAGTAGGACTCTCATACATACTTGTCTTTGTAAAGAGACAAACTGACAGGATAAAGTCGCTAACCTCCCAGTCAGCTCGCACTCGCCTGTTTCAGTGGCTTTACCATAAAGGCTTTAATACGTGTGCACTCCAAATATAGGTGCGGCTAGCCTAATCGCCCTCTCAAAACGAGTGACAGAAACAGGCCGTTAACGTTATTGTAGTTACCTCAAAAGAAAAGTGGTTGTCTCCAGTCGGCTGCCAAAGTGTGTGAGCATGTGAGTTTACAGTAACGTAAAGCAGCGCCCGCAAAACACAACGTTAGAGGTCTGTAATGTTATGAGATGTGTAAAAGTATTTTCGGTTCATTTTGAAACTATGACGGAGCAAACTGGACTGTGGCGGGCCGCCATGGACTCATTAATTAATGGGTAAGTTTAGTCAGTTCAGTCTAAGCTTGTACCTGATGTTCTCAACCCTTGACAAGTAGGTAAGTTAGTAATGACATGCAGCTGAGCTAATTAATATTACTCATTAAGCTAACGTTACATAGCAGCCAAAAAACGTGCTGTACAGGGGAGATGTTAGCTAGCGTTAGCCGCTTTCTCTTTTCCAGCAGTTGGGGAAACTTATTAGCGGACACACTGTGACCTACACTGCACATTTACCACCAGACAAACTTCCTGCTAGTCGTGTTCAGCCTCTCACTCACTCACTAATTCGCTCGGCCTCACACTAAGGATACACAGAGACCGGGGTGGAAATTAAATGTGGGTAGATTTCGCGTTTGGCGGCCAAATGTTGGAAGGCTACCCACCACATCGGTGTACGATATCGCCATATAATAGCTTTTGGATGGTACCTTTGTCGTGTGTCGCACTTAAATTTGTCCCCACTGTACCAAGGGATCTAAAATCGTGTAACACACGGATTAGGGGCGTTCATTGGTTGTTGTTTATGTTCATTTCAGGTTACTTGTGTCTGATTGGCGTACATATGTAAGGGGGTGGGCGTTAGGGGATTGAAGTCGGGGTCGGGAGCCATCAAGTTGTGCTTGGAGTACCTGGAGTGTTTTTTAGCATTTAGCTAGCTAGTTACCATTATAACGTGCATACCTGTCAACCCTCCCACTTCCCCTGGGCTTCTCCCGTATTTTACCGTTCTCTCCCGGTACCCCCATACATCTCCTGTTTATTTATACCCGCTGTTTGCTACGTTCCCCTCCGTTAAAACCAGTGGCAGCATGTAGAACAGCTCACAGCATCTGCAAATAAAACAAGAAGAAGCAGCGGGACGGGTTCAGGACAGATGATGCGTTGCTAAACAGAGTATTTCACCTGCATTTGCCCGTAAAAAGAGATTCGTGCAAACCAGAAAAATGATTTACAATGTGAGAGTTAAAAACTACAACCTACAGTAATTTTTGTGCATGAATGGTTGTGATGTTTTTGTTAGTACTTAGCATTAATAAATTAAAGTCCAACATATACTTTTTCTTGCACAAAGATTTAATAAATGAAAACAATTACAATTAATATTAGGTCTATAGTAGCAATAAACTCTATATGAAAGTTTAATGAATATAGTGGGGGGGGCTAAAGCAGAGCATAAAATAAATTAATGAGGAGATTTAAGTTGAATGATTAATAAGCATCTT